GCAGTCTAGACCACTGAAGTTGTAACTGACTGAGTTTCTATGTTTGACGTTAGACGATCCGAGTCTACCTGTAGAGGCCATTCCCATCGCAAAAGAGGCGGAGCAACACATGGCTCAGCTGTCCCAATGCGATCTATGCATCATAGAATCAGTTGTTCACATGTGCCCCACCAAGATCTCGAACTTATCGCTCGTATTCAGTTGGCTAGATGTCAGATTCCTTATTTTGTGTAAGGTTGGTTGACCCATTCATGTTGGTCTATTTCCGGTCACCCCACCATAATGAATCCCTTCCAGCATATCACTAAGGATCTTCCACTGCCAGAGACCACGTAAATTGAAAGCAAATAGAAGTCAGAAGGGGGGAAAAAAAGAAAAGAAAAGAAATAAATAAAATGACGCATACCACATAGGTATAAGTAGCCCACTATTTCCCAAGGCCCTGCGAGAAGATATACAAGTATGCCTTCGAAAAGACACAGTCGTAAACAGCTACCGCGAACTATCTACAATATAGTAGCATCGACACATTGAGTTATATATCACACTGTAGAGGAGTTCTACAGATGGCGAAAACCAGTAAGGGTGCAAGACTCTGGTCTTACTGCTGTGGTAAGTGACCCCCTACATCTAATTCTACCCTAGCATCTCTAATTACAATCTAACCCAGACATCATCTACATCATAGCCTTCCCATGCTGGCTATATCGATGGCCATTCAAACACGTCCCCCCAGGTCACCAAGGGCTCATACTGCGGAACGGCGAAGTTACTGGAATAATCCAACCAGGCGAGAATAAATTCACCAATCCCTTCAGATCACCGATGGAGACCATCGACATGCGATTCCAAACAACAGAGCTACCCAAGATAGACCTCTGCACGAACAGTGGCAAAATCACTGTGCGTCCCCGCGTTTGCTATTCCATATTCGACCCAACCAAAGCCCTCGGCGTGACGGCAGATATTGAGAGCATGATTGGATTGTTCGTCTCAAAGTACCTGGCCAATAGGGTGATACATTTCAACGTCGCGGATGCGAAGCTGTATCTCCGTCGAATACATGAGCCGTTTTCGAATTATCCGGCGGGTAGCCCCAGGAGTACTGGGTCGCATATGGTGGATGTGTGGGTTGCAGGTTGGAGGAGTGGGTATAGGGCGAAGGCGATAGATGAGGATGTTTCGGGCCCGTCGAATAACAACTTGTATCCTCTGGTTTATGATATTAATGCGCAGTTGTGTAGGGTTGGGACTGAGTTGAATTGTTTGACATTTCATGTTGTTGATTCTGTTGGATAGATTGTTGTTTGTTCGTTCATATAGCCGAGGCAGCTCTAATAGCCTGCGTGTAGATGTACATTCGGACGTCATTTTCTATACTTTGCTTGCTCAGTCCATGATACTTCTCAAAAGCTGATCAAACAACTCATGGAAGTATTGAGTACGTGGATCGTGATATTAAACTACAGAATTAATGCTTGTGGGTATGTACATGCTAGGAGGTAGTCTATCTGGATATATATAATGAATCAATAAACAAGCCTTTTCATGCTTATTACGGACAACTTATTGACAAGAGGTCATGGCGAGGTTTTCATTTGACCGAGTACATATTTTGATCTAAAGTACAATGCGAAGAATGCATGTCCTGACAAGATGGTCCCCCAATTGAGCTTTTCTCACGTACGCCGGAAATGCGACTTTGCCCGTTAAACAAACCACCATGTCTCAGCAACAGTTGACCATGGCGCGATGATACTGATGCATATTCTACCAAGGTTTCTATGACCTCAAATAACAAGTCGAATATCTCCACGGTCAAAATGCCCTCACTCTGTCTAAGAAGTGAACGTGAGGAGAGGCCTATAAAGTATATACGAGACCCACAGTAAACCAAATCGGCGAGCTATAAAGTCTAACTAAGACTATCATAATATCTTTCCCTCGGAAGTACAAACTATCCAACGAAACCATGAAAGCTTGGATGATCTATACTTCAACGCATGTTATGATAAGGCTTTCAAGTCAAGCAAGGCATTGCCGAGCTTCTATGCAAGGAGCTGAAACCCATTCCCAATAAGCCGATAAACCATTTCCCGGCTATTCATTGCCCTATCACATTTCTAGGAAATATATTTTCCGAGCTATGGAGTGCAGCAAGGCCCTAGAATGGATGCTGGGGTACAGACATGAACAGATAGCGGCACATCAGTGTTACTGCATCATATCAGACTTACGACAAAGGGATTTTTGGTCGGCTAAAACGGTACTTTAGCATTATACATCACGGTGGCAATTGAGTTAGCTCTATAACCTTTCTTTCAACGGCAGAGATCGACCGGGGAACTTATCACAAATAGAAACAGTGTGCCTTGCTTGAGCTATTACTCTCGGTTAGAAGAGCCGGACGTGATTCGTGCTCTTGTCATCACAGCACTCGTGCGTATGTCCCTTGCTGTTGTTTGCGTCACTGTTTTCAAGTGTGCAATCTCATATTAGAGTGTCGCCAGATGTTTAAAAAGGTAGAGGTATGTCAATTTAAGAAATACTACGCTTGCTAGCACGCCTTAGGCCATATACGCCGCCTAATACCGATAATAAGGACATAATGGATCAGAAGACATACCTTAAAGGATCTAGTGATCGGAAGAGTTGCTATCTTTTGTCCCAGATAGCCTTTTTTCGCAATGTAGTAGACATATCATACTAAGCGGCGGCTTCTTGATCCCCACAGAACTACAGCATTCTCCACACCTTATATTGCTAGGTTTACCAAACTGAAGTGGCTGTCCTGAATCTCTGCAAGGGAAGTGCCGATATCTGGTAACCGAGGGGCCCACCGATATTACAAAATGCAGGAGTTAACTATACACAAACATGATCATCAATCGATTAGACAATCAAGATTACGTTGGCCTGTTAGAGCTTAAGAATTAACCGTCTTGGTATACGACGCGTCATTGCGAGACAGAATCTAGGTTAGAAACGCTCCAATTAACCCAGAACCAACATAGAGGAGCAAGTTCGTGGACGCGAAACAATTCAATCATTAGGTAAACGCACGCGCCACGAAGCTTGTTCTATCTAGAACCTGACTCTATCATACACATGATAACTGTAACATGGCACGGCTTCTACGGTAGCATAAAAACTATGGGCAGATTTCACTGTCTGCACTTCATTGCCACCCCGCCTACGTACTCATGGGAATGGATGTGCTCAGCCAAAAGTAATGATATGATGCACTGTATCAGGGGGAGACGATCGGTAATGCAAGGGGCCCTAATCAATATCTGCGGACTCCACCCCGGAAATGCTAGATAGTTTCCCAAGCCACATGAGACAGGTCATATCACCTTTTCAGGGTTCAGAAAATCTAAGCCCTATCTACCTGGAGAACAGGTATAAAAGCGAGCATCATCCATGCTCTTACAACCTCATTCCTCAGCATCAAACACAATCAAAGCATTCAAAGCCTACTACCACTACTACTCTCTCCACTACTCGGTTCTTCCGTGACAACCAAAGCCTTCTTTTACAATGAAGTTCTTCTCTGCCATTGCTCTTGCCTCCTTGGCTTCTTTCTCTACAGTCTTTGCCGTGCCTAGCGCGTCCGGTGGCGAGGACTGCGCCCACTTCATCTACAGAACTCTTCGCGATAAGCAAAGCACCGACATGTACAACTGGTTCCGGATCATTGATTCGCAGCCCAACAACCCTTGCAAGTAAAAAGTTCGCCTTTTCAATTGTTTCACTCAGTGTAAGGACCATTCATTTGACTACTTTCTATTGGCATTAGCTCACAATAAGCAGCGACTATTCAATCTTGTCAACTTTGCCGGATACTCTCGCTTTATGCCCTCGCGGTAATTGGCCTCGCAAGGCTGAGTGAGAAATATGGGAGGACGTTTCTTGAAAGTGCTGTGTATATTGGATCGTGATACATTCACCTGGCTTGTAATTACAAGGAATTAATATTGCTTCTATTTCTGATACTGTCCATGTAAAGATGAGTAACGTACACCATCTAATACAATTCGCACCTGGTCGCGGCTGTTAGGAACTGTTTTTGCCTGCTCTCAGCTTCTGGAAGCTTGGTTGGCGAACCGTCAAGAAATTGTTGCTGTGGGTACTCTGTAGATCATTGACTCTTTCGATGTGATATGTTGATTCAATATATAAAGGAGCCAATCATAATGACAGCTTATCCTATGCGAATCGATAGTTATTTTTGCCTTTTTTTTAATCCACCTGTTAATGTAAGGGTGAAGCCTTTGTTAATGAGCATTTAGGAACGTCTTCTTGGCCAGTGAATTTAACAGAATCAATGAGACTGGCTATAGGAGCCTACGAAGTACAACAGAATTCCAAGTCATATACATCGGTTGCTGCTAATAATCTGTATGCATGATTACATACACACTAGGAAGGCAGTTGCTGGTGCCATTCACGGTACCACCGCCAGGGTCGATATCGGAAAACCTGACAAAGTACGGGGTAAAGAAACGAGACAGATGGGGTGATGTTAGTCAACTCGAGATTAGAACGAGTATAACTTCTCCTGAGTACTCATCTATATTACAGGTCTGATTTCGACTGCTATTCCAGTTTAAACCTTGGGGTGAGATAACTTGATAACCCATACTTGACCTGCCTAATCTGGATGATGTAGGGCAAATTTTGTTATCATCACGTGGCGATAGACATCTCCCCGCATTCTTCTTTTTTTTTTTCTCTTTTCATACATTGATTTTTCACTGAAACAAGAAAACTTCAATGATTTGTGCAGCTATATACATCAATTGTTGACTATCGTGGCACTGCGTAACAAGGCTGGCTAATACGTTAGATCTGCCGGGGAGACAATCTATTTCAACCCAAATACAGCCAACATTTGGCCTTCATTCCACGTAACAGTTACCCCACGTTTTGAGCAGAAGAAGTGAAATAGCCACACAGCTTCTCCAACTAAACTAGATACTGGAGTCTACATATCAAAGATGAACGACCTCCTCCACTCGCGCTCGGAAACAACCACCCGTCTCTATGCGGACCCTCACAACCCACATCTTCACCTCGAACGAGGACTACTCCATGAGCAATTGGGATTTGCGGATTTAGCATCCGCGGACGCGTATCGTGCTCTTTCACTGTTGGAGTCCGTCGTTGACCCCGGCGGATGTGAGTTCCATGCTCGAAGGAAGATAGATACTCAAGCTCAGGCTGCAAAGGAGGGGGGCAAGAGGCTGAAGATGACGAAGACGACGACGATTCATATATTGCTACAACACAAGACGAGTATGACGAAATCATTGGGACCGTATATGCCTTGCTTGTTCGGAGCTTAGTCACTTGCCGGTGCTACAGAGACGCATATGAATTCTGCATGCGTGGTTTGTCGCTACTTGGAAGTATGGAAAAGTGTGATGGTAAAGCTGTGGATACCCTCAGGGAGCAGCTAGGCGCAATTCAGAAAGTATATACTTCTCGACGACCAGACTCGGTTAAGGACAATGGAGCTGCGGAAGTGGAAATCAACCCCAGTGCTCTGAATGCGCAGGGCTTCGCGCGGAGGGTCCTGTACCCCTGGAACGAGCACGAGCCGGACAGAAAGGCCCCTGAAACACTCAAGCTGCTCAATGACAGACTGAAGGATGTTGCGCCCAAATGTGAAGTGCGGGCTGTTGCTCTGCCCGCCCTCCACGGCACCACCGACGAAGGAACCTCATCAGAGGGTGAGGTATCCATCCAACTAGGCCTCTTCGCCAAAGAAGACATCGCCCCCGGCGAGATCATCCTTCGCGAAAACTCCCTCCTCACAGCCACTAACAGACTCCACGACGACCTCTGCGACGCCTGCAACGCCCCGCTCCCCGACTTAGCATCCGAGAACCCCCCGTCGCCTGCACAGACTGCGACGACATCATCTTCTGCAGCCAAGCATGCCACGACCAAGCACAGGAAACCTACCACGGCGCCCTCTGCGGTCTGATGGAGAATCTCGAATCCATCGGCAAGGACATTCCCGACCCCAAAGACAAAGCTGACTACCTGTACCTCCTCCTCCTGGGCCGGGCAATCGCCATGGCCGCAACACAGGACGTGCATCCTCTTGACCTCCCCGAGATCAAGTACATCTGGGGCGATTTCCACGACCTCGAGGACTCATCCGCAGGCTCTGTTTCCTCCGACGACCCCACCGCCACCCTGCCCTTCTCCTTCCACCTCAATATCCTCCAGCCTATGCGCATGCTCGAGGAAATGGAACTGGATCCTTACGAGGCCCTTTCCCGCTATGATACCTGGGTGCTTAATACGCTCTATGCTAAATTCCGCGGCACCGCATCCGGTCGTCTGTCTACCTGGGATGGTGGCCCGGAGCTCTGTGCTGTGCATCCGCTCTGGTGTCTTGCGAATCACTGCTGTGATCCGAATGTGAGGTGGGAGTGGGGTGGTGAGATTACCTTCCGGGCTCGGACGGAGTCTGAACGTCCTGTTTGGAAGAGGACTGGTACCGGGGAGGAGCAGACGCCGTCCAGGAACGAGGGGATCAAGACTGACCAGGAGATCTTGAATCATTACTGTGATATTGGACTGAATGTCAAGGAGAGACGGGAATGGGCTAGAGGCGCGTTGGGTGGGTTGTGTTTGTGTGAAAGGTGTTTGTGGGAGGCCGCTGAGTAGATTTGTTTACATTGTCATTTCCTTGGAGAGTTTACGTGAAAAGATAGATGGGTTGGATGGCTGAGTGATACCCTAGATATGATAGATGCCGTACCGAAAAGCTATTGCTATAGTTTGCGTTTTATATAGAAAGCTAGACTCGCGACTGATGCCAAGTGAACATGTGGATCGTTTGCAGTGACTGCACTGCCTTTTTTGCTATTGGGAACCTAAACGCAGGGTAGTACAAATACACCTAACAAACCGAGCCTTTTAACCAGTCCTAATAAATAATTCATGACCTGCGGTCAACATCAAATAATTGAAATTCTTTGTATGCGTCTTAGAGGCATTTTCATGTCATTTTTACAACAACTCATCACCATTTAAATTAGATATAGTCAGCGGCGCGGCCCCGACGAGGAGGAGTCCGGGACGGCGATCTACGCCGAGGGGGCGAGCGAGACGGTGATCGGGAATCCGAGTACCGGCGTCTTCTTTGATCACGTCCCGATCGTGCAGGGCTCGGGGAACGTGACGCTGAAGCATCACGGGCGCGCCGAGCCGGGGCTGCCTTGCGAGGTGAACGCGACGATGCGCGTTTAGAGCGAGGCGGAGACAAAGACTCAGACGAGTAGCGTCTGCCTCGTGCCTCGCGCCGAGGTGGAGTAACAGATCTCGACACCGATCTGGAGTAGCTTCGGTTCCTACGACTGTAACCCTGTTTCTCGGGTGTAACAGACCGAGACGGTGAACGTCGGGGGGAGCGTGAGTCGTAAGACTTAGCACGAGTCCGCCTAGGGGGAGTACGAGAGACCGACGACCTTTTGGGTGACCGGGATCGACTGTAAGAAACAGAGCGCCGGCGACTTCTCGACACTGGTGACCTGGAGCGCGAAGGCGTGTAGCTGTAGCTCCGGCGAGAAGAGCCGGAGATGGATCGTGAATAAGACCTGCCGCGACTGACCGAGCGACGGCGGCCTCGGCCCGGCGAAGGCGAACGGGAGTATGAATAGGAGCGCGAGCGTGAGCGTGAGTGACGGGGGCCAGTGCACGTGGAGCAAGATGAGCGAGAACTGACAGATTCAGCGTCTGACTCTGGAGTAGCGTCGCGCGCAGGGAGAGCTGGAACTGTCGGCTTGGGGAGGTTCTTCAGGTATTCACGCATGTCCTCTGTCAGAATACCAAAGCCGATACTTGTGAAATAGTTGATAGAAAAGCGGGTGTTGCGAGGATTATCTGTTGGGAAGAGACCTTCAAAGCTCGGGCGAAGTATCTCATCCCTCATGCGCTCCTGCAACTTCGGGAGACCAAGGTGCTCTCCTAGGTCTTGGAAGAGAATCTTGATAAAAATACGACTGCTTGAAGTGGTTTCTTCTTCATTGAGGTGAATGACGGACATAACATGCCAGCCGATGGCGTCGGTGCTGAGCATATGGCCGAAAAAGCGGGCAATATTGCGCAACTTATTGGTCTCGAATCGATGGATCGTGTCATAGTACTTGGCGAAAGCAGCCTCGAAAAGGTCACACCAAAGACGATTGATCTTGGAGAACCGCTCACCAATCAAACCGTAGAACTTTGAGTATGTTCTTTCTTGAGAACAGCACTCAATAATCATCGACGGAAGTTCGGGCTCCAGGCCGGGTGGCAGTGAGATCTTCATCAATTTATGACAGCATTCTTCGAAATCAATGCTGGACATGATAGTCAAGTAGATGGTCCTCCGCAGGTTGACGAGGTCCGTATTGCTTTGGTCTTTGATATCCATCTGCCGCTCTTCTTCAGCTTCTTCATCAGAGCTCTCATCGGTCTCGTCCTCCTCATCTTCGTCATCGCTACCTTCACCTAAGATCTCAGCCTTCAGTTTCTTGTACGCGTCTTCGTGTTCCTCCCATTGCGAATCGTATTTGAAAATGTTGAGGGTATCTTGAGTTTCAATCTCATCGTCAAGACCAACACGGTGTGTGATCTGATCTTCTTCCTCTACCAGGTCAAGTTCATCTTTGACCGCTGGATTGTCTTTATAACGGTCTTTACGGACTTGGAACAAGACTTCGATCATGTACTGGACTCTCTTGTCGATATCGGCTTCGTGGAGGATGTTTCTGAACTGATCGAACACCGCCAGGGCAATAGGACCACTCATTTCCTCCAAATGCTGTCCGACTTCCCTTGTGAGGCCGACGGCAATCTCCACACTGTCATCTGTGGGTTTGTGGAGCAGGAGAAGAAGAATTTGAGCTGCGAGCATCTCATGTACGACCTGTTGGTTGCACAAATGAGCGATGAAAGTCGTCGACGAGATGCAGACCGCCTTGTCGTTTCGTTTGAACGCTTTGCGGAACTGGACGATCAATCGATTAAGCAGCAGCTCGCCAACTTGAGGAAGTTTGGTGTTGACGATAGCCGCCATCGCAGCGTAAATTGGCGTGAACGGCAAGCTGGCAGCTTGAGCCTTCATGATGCTCCTGCAAAATAGCCCGCGTCCACGTACCAAGTTCTCACCGAAAAGTTCTGGCACAATATGTTTGATATTTGAGACGTTGACTTTGTTGATAAGACCGTTGATCGATTTCTTCAAAGCTTCCCATGCCATACGCTGATATTCTTTGCTCGTCTTATCTGTGATCTGGGCTTGTAGCGCCCGGAGTCGAGCGGGGGGAATGTAAGTTCCACCCGACCGCATATTCAGAAGCTTCTCATATTCTGCTTTGGCTGAAGCTTGTTTTTCTTCTTCCGTCATCGGTTTCCGCGCGGCCTCCTGCTTCTCATGTTGGCGGACACGCTCCGCGAGTTGTCGTTCTCGCTCAATGGCACGTTCAGGGTCAATTCGTGGCGCGTCGCCATCTTCTTTGACAGAGTCACCTGGAGGCGACCGGCGACGAGTTGGAGAAGGCGAACGAGAGGGGGGCGAGCGTTTTCGTGAGCCCGATGGTTTTGGAGAATAGGACGTGCCAGGCGGAGGTGTGGGCACTCGCACCGCCGACTGCAATACGACCGGGTCTGTCATCGTTCCTTAAAGTTCCCCAGATTACTCTGGGACCTCAATAAAGGAAGAGTGACTCTTGAGTCAAGTTGCGAAAACGTTGATGGTTGAGCTCCGTCGGACAGAACGTGAGGCGGCGAAGGGTAAAGTCTTAGCGTTCGGGCCAGGTCACGTGCCACTCAGGAGCCAAGCTGTTCGTGTTATGCGATGGGATGGTCTGTTCATGCCCATCTTTCAGGCTAGCAGTTCTTCGCAATTACTCTATTAGGCCTACCCTATAGATTTGCTCACCACTATGGTAAGAAGAAACTAGTCTGCATCGTTATATTTTCATATGCTGATTGTCGCTTTTTCTAGCTGGGCCAACTCGTCGGATCCGCCATGCTCTTGGCCGCTACCGCAATCTTTCTCTACTACACGGCTTGGACTCTTCTCATGGTAAGTCTCCTTCTATGCCTTTTGGATTTACGTGCACCTATTAACAAGGTGGTAGCCATTTGTCGACCAGGACCACCCCCTCCATGACCTTTTCCCTCCTCGTGTATGGGCTATCCGCATCCCTGTCATCCTTACTCTCCTCGGATCGGCTGTGGTTGGTACATTCATCGGAATCGTCATGATCAATAGCAACAAGAAGAAGGCGGCCAAGGCCAAGGCTGCCGCGGCGAAGAAGAAGACCTGAGATGTTGCAATAGGCGCGACCTTCGGAGTGTGCGCAGGGGGAACCTGGATGCGTCGGAACAGGTGTCATATACTTTGTAACAATACACGTCATATCCCTTTTGATTCCTGGAGTATGCATGCATGCAACTTCCACGCTCTTCCCTATTATACTCTCAATGGACTCTTTCTTGAACCTATCACGTGGTGCGATTCGAAGACAGCGACGACGAACCGATAGGTCAATCCAAGTTGGAAGATATCACATGAGGTTGGGTAACCCCAAAGGGGAAACTCCCCAAAGAAGTCACAGTATCCCATATAGGCGTGAGGACCCGACGGATGGACTTCCAATGTGATTTAATTAAACCTCCACCGTCATGCCTCAGTCACCGCTTGATGATGTGCCAATGATATTCAGGGACCTTGCAGATGACGGCGAGTAGTTACGAGTATGCGGTAATGCGGACCTACCGGACAGAACATTCCTGATGATTCAGATTTGGTTGACATGGAAGCAACAGTGGCGGCTAGACCCGGATTGTCCACGGAAGAATTTAGAAGTTGAGTTCCAGTTGACTGTGGCTTTGCCATTGCCCTTCCATGTCCAAGTGGTAAGGGCTCTTTGGCTGCATCATTCAGGCAAATCACGTGGCGCCCGCTGACCCGTGTTCAGACGCGTGTGGTTTGCATTGTTTGTCTGGGGGGCCCCTCATGCGACCTGCAGGGCAAACCAATAATTTGCCTGGAACATGGTGGATGGATCGTCATTTGAGTGCCGAGTGGCTGTGGAATGAGGAGTGGGGGGGCTTCCTTTCATTCTAAGAGGAGGGGGGCGGATGACTCCATACTTATCTTTTTGGTTTGCAGACTGCAAGGCAAGCGCGGTACTCCGTAGATCCAAGGTCCGGCTGGAAAAAGGCACGTTAGGCAGTCCGAAACTGGCGTCATACCCTGACGGTCACCGTCTCAAACGGACCAATCATCACCTGATCCTCGTCATGTGCCGGCCTGGGGACCTCACGGAAGTTCCTAGACTTTACCATACCGTACCGTACCTGCCGACCGAATCTAGTTCCGTCCAACTAATAGTAGTCTATTCGTGGCCGGTCACCACTAAGGTTAACTAAATCTGGGCCTGATAGGAGATAAGTCAGCCTACCCATGGGGGATGTCATCCATACTCCTGACCCTGACCCCCCTCCCCCTCTCCCTCCATGTTCTTCCCCAACCTCTCTTTCTATTTCCTCAAACAAACTCACTTCTTTGACCAAAACTGTCTTCTTTGTATCCGGTATATCTATCATCTTTGTACATTTTGTAACTCGTGTTCCACTTCCATACATCTACCCCGGATTCTCGGACGAACGGTATAAGCAGCGCTTCCGTCTCGCCCTAATCTCCGAAGCTACAAGCGTATCTTGACTCTGGATACGCTGTTGCTTTGCTAACCTTTATTCCTACGCGCACCGAAACCGCTTTTATCGCAGTATTAAACCTAAACCTCTTTTTCAATAACCATACATGTACGTATTGTTTTGCACCCTCGATTACTGGGTGAGTCATACTAACGGGGATGCTTGTTGATAGTCAACCGTCGATAGTGCCATACCTCCGCGACAGTCTTTGCCACCGATAACATCGCGAGACCCCCGTTCTCAGACCTTATCACGGGTCCTGAGAGCGGTTTTTCTTATCGAAACCGTCTTGCCTCCTCGAGGCAATCCTTCCATTTCATGCCCCCGGCAGCTTCGGACGATCTATTCCGCCAGCAGAGCCGGTCCGTCGGTGACCTAGCCCACCCCTAGAGGATTGGAACCAAACGCCCCCAGAGAATGAACACAGTGGAAAGAAGAAAAAGGGAAAAGCCGGATCCAAGGGGAAGACAAAGACAGCCAAGGCTGCAGCAAAGACACCGCCAGAAGACTTGTAAGCCCAAAGCACCGCGAGTTTTGCCGCTTGGTCCATCAAATCACTGACCTGGAATACTCAAAATGCACAGGATTCCAGCCTCTCCGCCTCTGCAGGCCGAACCGTCGTCATGTCCTGACCCTCCGTTGGCTTCTGAACGACCCAACAATATCGTCTCGCCGGTTCTAGATGCACTTGGCTCCCTTAATGACTCACCAGAGAATGATCTAGCGTATCGTACAGATAGCTGGGCAAAGTCTATCCCATTTGGGAAGAGCCCACCGAATGACGTTAGTGACGGCGAAATCGCGAACGGGTCTCCCTTTGCCTTCCCTTCAAATCCGGAAAAGGGCGGTTTTAGCCACCCCTCCTCAACGTCGCCTCTTCCCAGGGCAAGGCCTTTGAGCTACGGCAACGGGTACTTGAGTAGTGACTTATCTCGACAGCAGTCTGTAGATAGGTACAAAAGCCACTCCGTCAGCGGCCCATTCAGTAACCCGATCCCGTTGCCGCATTTGCCCCAGGCCCATTTCTATGGAGCACCTGATATCGACATCCCACTCGTGTCTGGCCAGAACAGGCAGTCGACAGGTGAAAAATACTCTTTCTGTTCCTTTGACACGATCTACAGCCCTTCGTCCAAGTCGTCGAGGATGGGAACTAGTGTTCTTGTTGTGGGTACTGATGGATCTTTGGAAGTCCTCGCAGTAGAGGACCGTAAAACGCGTTTAATTGGGAAGCTGGCCGGTCTCAATGGTCGTGTGATAGACGCCAAAATCCTGGCTTGCAATTTACCCAATGACTCGTGCTCAGCATCCAGACCGCATGTCGCTGTCATTATCCATGGTCCATGTGGACTACCTGACGATGCCACTCGCGGCTCTTCTGTGGGTTCGGAAGTGAATGAGGTACCTCCTACGCCCACCGGGCGCCAGCATCCTGCTGAGAGGCGCTCGGTGAAAGACGATGCCAGATATTACCAGACACGCGTCGAAATATATTCGCTCAGAACGGGGGATCACATCACGACTCTATTCACAATGAAGCCTTCTCCGTACTTTGAGAGTATCCCTGGACTGCCTGCAATTGCACCTTCGCCTGCCGGAAATTTGAAGCTCTTCGCGGGAGGCAACTATGTAGTTTTGGCATCTGGAGTTAGTGGTGAGGTTTTCATCTACAGCATGAATGGGTACCAGTGCCTGGGTAAAACTTGGACCAGTATTCGCTCACGGGAATCCCGGCGTTACTCAACTTCTTCAAATTCAACAGATCCTGATGGATCTCGGACCGACTCTCCATCTGGGATTGCTAACACCGACAGCCCTATTGTTGCGCTAAAGGGAAGATGGCTGGCAATCGTCCCACCATCGTCCACGTATAGGGCGTCGCTTCCAGGGACGGTTCCTCCGTCGTTGATCCAGGGTAAAGCCTATGGTCTTGACAACCGTAATCCTCCAGCAAGGCCAGCAATATCGTGCGCTACGGACGTCGGCGAGGGCCCGAGCTTCTTCGACAAAGTAGCAAGAGGCGTGACGCAGGAGATTGTGAGAGGTGCAAGATGGATGGGCGACCAGGGGCTTCAAGCGTGGAATAATTATTGGAATAAAGACCAGCTCCAATCTTCTGCGCCCCGACGCTCTCCCACCTTGGGAGATTTACCGCAGGCATACAGCGCCTTCCCACCTACTCATGCCCAAGATACCCATACTACCACACCCGCGGAGCCTGACATTGTTTCAATCATGGATTTGAAAAGGCTTGAAGAAGGCAATGAGACAAAGGCCGCGCTGTTCAACCCCGTTGCCACGTTCCAGCCTCCAGAAGGATGCAGCTTTCTCTCCTTTTCGCCTAATGGACTAATGCTTCTTACGGCGAGCACGAATGGAGACGTTCAACACGTCTGGGATCTCATGCAAGCTAAGTACTGTCGAGCCGGGGCATTTTTGTCAGAGGATTCCGTGAACACTTGTGCCAATGTGCGCCAAATCGCACGGTACACGCGTTTGACAAAATCATACATTGTCGACGTGATTTGGTGTCCTCCCTCTGGAGACCGACTGGCAGTTATTACTCGGAAAGGAACAGTACATGTCTTTGACCTACCGCGGAGTGCTTTCCAATGGCCTCCATTCCGGCGGGCTCGCCCAACATCTAGTAAACCGCCGGCACCTGACCAATCAACGGATGAGTTGTCTGACAAAGCCGCCCCAGTGAACCCTCTATCAGCGGCATTCAAGCTTGTTGGGGGCAAGACGCAGCCTATAATCGCCGCAGTTAGAGGTCGTACCGCAAGTGCTGGTGGGGCTTTGCCTGCAGTAGGAGGATTTTCATCGTCTGCTGGTGTTCGAGGCGGGAAAGTAGTTGCTGCTGGTCTCAGCAAGTCAATGGGGGCAGCCACTGGGACAGTTAACACGCTCCGCCACGCTGGGGAAAACCGCCTGCACGGGCTGGCCCGTGACCCGGCTGCGTCTCGTGTCACTTGGATTACGAATAAAGACCAGGTATTTTTAGGCTTGGTGGACAGCGGGCACTTCCGGCTCTACAGGGTGCGACGTACTATGTCTATTCAGAAGAACCGGCAGCTCCAATCTGTGGTAGGAGGCAAGGAGATTGAATTCCGGTTGCCCCCCGTTCTGCAAACGCACTGCGGTCCTATGCCTGTTAGCGCATTTAATGTGGAGACCCCTGTTCGCGCATCGCTGGCCTTGCCTTCTTCCAATCCACGACCGTCTCTTGCATCCAAACTTAAATGTCAGCCTCTCTCCCAGGCGGAGATTGAGACAAACGCACCTTACCAGCCTTTCCACACGGACCAGAGGGTTAGTCTTTACGTATACCCGGAAATTGGTCATACGGACGAACCATCGAATCTGCCTTCTGGCAACTGGGTATTTGGTGAGAACCTGCCCATGACCAGAATACACGTGCGCCCATTCAGCGCTGGTGGCGATGACGATGATGACGAGACGCTACATGAACACCAACTGGGCTCTGGTGGCGAGATGGAGAATCTAATCAGTCTTGGCAATAGTACGGGGCTTCCTGAAGAGGTCGTGATTACCACACGCAGAAAGAAGAGACGTGGCTCGTCATTTCCTTCGGCTGGATCTGGAGGCGATGATGGCTTCTTTGAGGATGACTGCGACTTCTTGGATTTCGCCCGGGATAGGGTCTAATTGCATTATAATTTTTTTTTTCCGGAGGTATATTGAAACGCCACGACATGCAATTAGTTTAGACATTACAGCGGTTTCGGCGTTGGTCTTGTTTTGTTATTTGTCTCTCCCTACACATCTCAGTGGCATTGGCTATGGCATCACTGTCATTTTACCCTGCACAACAAATGGTTATCACCGAGTGCAGCAGGTGGTTTGATTGAACCATACGTTCCTTTCTCTTTGCGCGTACCTTCACAACAGATAATATCGTCACCTGTCACATACCCATTGGTGTATTGAGAATTGATAGACTGGATAGCATGATTTCGGACTTGATGTCTATAGGTTAATCTATATTGCATTGCATGCTCTCACCCCTTGTTCTCTCCCATCTTTATACAAAGCGATCTTCCTACGCGGCGTCGTTCATTTCGACAGCCCACCACTCTTGAAACTCCTTCAACCTCGCCGTGCGCACTCTGGCCATCTCTCGTCCAGTCTCCGTCTTCATCATACTCTCCAGCCTCACCAACTTCTCCTCAAAATGCTCAATCGCATTATCCATCACCCACATCCCCTCAGGACAGAAGTTCTTCCCCTTCGCCCCCAGAAAAGTAAAACACCGACCAATGCCCACCGCCCCGATAGCATCCAACCGATCCGCATCCTGCACAATCGCCAACTCGGGATACCCCTCGCGAATCAACCTGCCCACCTCCTCCGGCTTGGCCCTCTCCGTCGTATACGACACATGCGACACAATCATCTGCACCTTCTCCGCCAAGGCCTCATCCGCCCCATGCGCCACAAGCACACAATACACCAGCCGCTGCGGATCCACCGCCTCTTCTTCTTCTGCGGCACGGCCCTGAATAGACGCCGAGATGGCCGCTACCTGCGACAGATATTTCCGGTCCCCGATGTCATGCAGCAGCGCCGCGAGGTGCACCACGTCGGCATCGTACACTGAGGCCGCGCGGGCTGTTTCGCGGGCGAGGATTTTTTGGGCTAATGACACGACGCGGTGCACGTGTTGGGGGTTGTGCGAGGGGTCGTGCGAGGCCATGCATTTGGTTACGAATGCGGAGATTTCGGGGATGAGGTTGGGGGTAGTGATGAGGGGACATTTTGATTTTTGGAGTGTTGACTTAGTA